TGGCGCTCTTCATGGCTGGAGAGGGGGGTTGCGTGAGCAGCTGTTCTGCCTCCCAGCTTCACGATGCCATGGCCCAGCTCTCCCTGCAGAACCAGAGCACCTCTGCTGCCGCCGCATGCAGCAATCCCAGCATGGCTTTTTAGGCGGCTTCCAAACCGAGTCTTCCAGCGGTGGCTGCTCTGGGCATATGCTCTATGGTTGTGGGCCAGCTGCCAGCAGAGCGTTCTCCCAGAGCATACTAACATGCCCAGAGTGGCCACTGCCAGAAGACTCTGTTTGAACACCGCTGAAAAAAGCCATGCTGAGATGGTGGTGGGCAAGTGGCAGTGGAGGTGCTCTGGTTCTGCAGGGAGAGCTGGGCCAGGGCATCGTGAGGCTGGGAGGTGCGGGAGCAGAACAGCCGCTTGTGCAACCCCCCCTCTTCAGCCGTGCAGAGCACCATTCACTGCCATTTTGAAGGCGTCAAGCCGCGGGAGCCGGGCGGTGGCAAACAGGCATTCACGCAGCTTGGCGATACCTCTAGGTCAGTGAATGGTGCTGTGTCCGGCTGGAAAGGGGTTTTCCGGGTGGCTGCTCGTGAGTGTGATCCCTTCATGGCTGCTGTGTTGCGCTGCTGTGACAGCGCAACACAGCCGTTTGCCCCTGAGACTGTGCCCGGCTCTTTGGGAGCCCGTTCGCAAGAGAGCAGCTGCCTGGCAACCCCAAAACAATAAGCCCTTCCCTGACAATAAAGCCCAAGCCATATTTTGTGGGTCAAAAGAAAATAAGACCCTGTCTTATTTTGGGGGGAACACGGTATTTATTAAGCATATTTATCTGACCACCTGTGTACCAGAATCACTAAAGAAAGTGAAAAGCAAAACCAAATTCAGAGTAAAGAAAAAACAGTAATAATTCTGGTTATATGCAGAGATGGATATCTGAAACCAACTAAAATGACCCTGTACTTATTTTAATACAAATTGCAAAGATTACTTTCTTATAGAAATAGTTTATATTTCTATTTATAGAAATAGTTTCTATTTACTATAACGAATATGGCATACTTAGAAAGCAATATTAATATTTAAATCACCAGGTTTCTATTTTTAATGATGCACAATATACTGTTTAATAGTAATAATTTAGATGATGATATCTGCCTATCTCAGGTCCTTGGGAAGCTCGATAGGTACAGTAGATAAAAATGCAAAATCCAGTCTAAACATCTGGCTAATTGTGTGATGAACCATACAATAACAATGTTAAATGAATATGCTGCACAACAATTTTAGATGGCTCAAAATTGTTAGAATATTTAAAATGAGGGGGGGGGGGAAGAAACCTTTAATACACAAAAACAGCCCAACACAGAAGAATAATGGAAATATAGAGTGCCAGTTTGGTGTAGTGGTGAAGGCAACAGGCTACAAAGCGGGAAACTGACTTCAGGTCCCACTTTAGCCATGAAAGGCAGTTGGATGACTTTGGGCCAATCACTCTCTCTCAGCCCAACCCATCTCACAGGATTGTTGTGGAGAAAATAGGAGGCAGGTATGTTGGGTATGTTCACAATCTTGAGGTATTTGTAAAAAATTTAAGGGCATGATATAAATAACTAATAAATAAAGACACCCACAAGGGAGGAGGAAGAAAGGAAGCATTATCATATCATTTTTATAAGTGACAGTAACACTAATTAATATAGGATAGTAGCACTTTTCAGGGTTTTTTGGTAACTGTATACAACTTGATAAATCTCTTTTTATGCTTAGAAGATAAAAACAAAAAGTCAGGGAGAAGAATTTAATTCAAGTCTAATATAAAAAGCCATTAATATTTTAATCATCTGTTTATCCAATAGTAGCAAGTTCTGCCAAATTCAGAGATAATTCAGAAGAATTTATTCCCATAAAAGAGGTACTTATTCCAATATAAAAGTACAGGATGATATATTTACATAATAAATACTCTGAAGCCATGGTTTTCCAAGTTGACTAAACAGCATGCCTTAGTGTGAGATTATGAAAAAATTGTAAGAATTTCGTTTGTTTGTTTGTTTATTGGATTTATATGCCGCTCTTCTCCCAAAGGACTCAGGGTGGCGTACAATATAAAAAAACATGTTACCAAAGTTAAAAAGGAAATTAAATAAAGTATCCAAAAACAAACCCAATTAATATTAGCAATAAAATTTTAAAAATTAGATTAAAATTAACAATTAAATTAATAATTTATTTTGTACAAATGTGTTCCAAATTCTATATATACTCTATATATTATATAGTTGGTTTGCTCCAGTGGTTAAGGTATAAGGATAGAAAATAGGAAACCATGAGTTCTATTCCAGCCTTAGGCATGAAAGCCAACTGGGTGACACTGGGCCTGTCACTCTTTCTCAGCCCAACCCATCTCACAGGGCTGTTGTTGTGGAGAGGGAAAAAGAGGAAAAAGCATTATGTATGTTCACTGCCTTGAGTTAAAAATAAAAGCAATATAAAAATAAGCACATAAAAGAGCTGAATGATAAGTGTATCAAGTTTGCATAAGCAAAATGGGATCCAAATTGCTGCTTGAGAACTGTTTGAGAAATACCTGCTAAAGATTTCTCGTATTGCATCTCCTTAGTAGAAAAATTATGCTTGTAGAGTTCCTAAGTATGTTTGAAAAGGCTGTGACTTTATGCATATCAAGACATACTAATGACCCCCTGCTCTAAAATGCCTTAAAATTGGGGATTTTCTTGCACAAAAGACAAAACACAGCAATATGCCACACTAACACCTGCACTTTTATTGCAAGTACTGCAATTCATTAGAAGGTTCAGAATAGAATCATTTGAATAGGGTAGGAATTGAATCTAGCTGGCCTAATTATTTCAGGACTATAATACATGACATCATAGCAATATTCAGCATAATGACGTTAGGAATACTTAGCACTCTCACAATGACCTATGTTGCCTCGAAATGCAGGGCAGAATGTCAGTCACCTTGCCCTCACCTTGGCTGCAAGGGCAGAGAACTACCAGGCAGACAAGCAGTACAAAAAAGAGAGCAAAAGCTATTAATGCACATGCCGAGGAGAGAAGTCGATTTGCCGCTTTGCTAGGGAGCAAATATTACTCCAAGCGCTCCAGAGAGCTGCAAGCAGGAGGAACATGCTGACCTACAGAGGAAGGAGAATGCTAAGAACCCACGAACAGAACAGCCGGACCCCCTTCGGCTGCCATCGTCGCCATCAGCTAGATGGGAGGCGCTCGCTTTTTACCTCGGATCTATTAACCACCCGCCCTATCGCCACTTTGCTCACCTGTAACCGACTGACTAGGACATAATACGGCGCCATTTTGTTCACTGACAAAGATGAAGTCGCCTGGCAATACCGTCACGCACCGACGTTTTATAAAAACGTGCTAATAGGCGGGGCTTTTTAAAAGGCCATCATCACGTTTTCCTTCCCAAGAACTCAAGAGACACAGTCTCCTTGGCCCTGGAAGTTATAATACATGTAGTTCCGGTGGGTTGAAAGATCAACAGGAAACAATTTTTAAAAATTCCGCAGTTGTCAATTATTATATAAAGAGACCTGAAAAACTTAGAGAAACTCATCTCCCTGGTTGGACAGGACTACTACCGCTTTACATTGAACATTTTGTTTTTGTTTGTTTCAAACGCTGCCTATATAAAATAAAAACATTTAAGCGTTATTTTAAATTCAGTCTATTAGGCTCCGATTGCGGGTGAAGTATGGGCTTTATCATGAAAGGACTAGATAGGTTAGTCTTTGAACGTGAATTTTGCCGGAGCAAAATTTGCAGCGGATCATCAGAATGAAAATCTGCTCCAAAGACACAGTAATACTGGCTTATCAGATACTAAAGAGAAATTAAATACCTTATGTAATGTGGGAGAGATAACAGGATAAATGAAAATCTAGATTCTAAAATTACGTATTTATGCCACTAGAAAAGCAAAGGCAGTTAATCTTCCGGTAAGGTACAGTTTTAATTTATACCTTCTCCTGACTTCAGTGGAGCTTATTCCCTAGTAAGTGGATTGTATTCTTAAAGGCAACCTGATTTAATTATGACAGTCCTGCAATTTGCAATGCAATCTGTTAAGTGCATTAAGTAAAACTACATTGACTGCAATTAACGTGAAAAGAGGGAGCACTTGGTACATGAGAGAACAGACACTATAGAATTAAAAGTTGGTAAAGTAAAAGCTATAAAATTGCTAGAAAACTAAAAACGGAAAAGTCATATGTTAACTAAGATTAACCTTTATTAAAATTCAGAGTGATGAGTAAAATTATATGCAGCAACAATATTTCTTATAAAATTAAGTAACGAGATTAGAAACCACAATATAATAGTAGAGCTTGTCGCATGTGATCAATCTGATTATTCTAGCTGGAAGTGAACACTCAGGTTTTTTTAACGTTATTGTGCAGAATTTGTCAACTGTTATGACGTTAAAGTCATAAAAGTATGTAGTACAATTTGATACGGCACAAATAAGTTTTTGTGCATGCCTCTGTAAAATGATCAGAAAGCTTTTGAAGGATACACACGAAGAGTCCTGCAATTAAGGGTTAGACGTGGGGCTACTATAGAATCCGATTCCCCCTCACCACCCAAGTTTTTTTTTAGGATTAAATAAAAATTCACTTACTCCTTTCAATGCAAGCCTAGCCTTTAACTGCATGCTGATTCCTAAAACTACGAATTACATGTCGACACTTTGTTCTTTATTCCTTTCAAATGTTGAAACGCTTTTAAAAATGCTTGTTTAGAGGCACGATTACCTGCATTTAGTATCACCTGCATGTTGTAATTACTTTTTTATTTAAAAAAGGGTCTTTCTTTAGACTGCCTCTTTCGAGTCTTTTACATGAATCCATATCCATATAGTAACTATACTATCGATGACGGTAGATATAAGGGGCGGGCTTTTTCGGGTCCTAGAAGAGACAGAGATACCATTTAATAATAGGTCAAAACTTCATATTCTCCTTCTTTACCTAAATAGTTAGTTCTATAGTATTTTAAAGCTTGAAGCAAGAGGACGCACTTTTCTTTCGCTAAGAGAGGAAGCCCTCAGATTAATTCGCAGGATTTCTATCGTCCTTTGGGACCTAAACAGTAGAGATCACGGGTAAAACGTCGTTAACAACGGCGCGACACGGGAACCTGAGGGGATGGCTAAACATCATCCAGATTTAATCTTCTGCCGCAAACAGGCGGGAGTAGGTGAGTAGTCCTTTACAGAGAGAGAGAGACCATTGCTCTGCAGCTCGTACCTGAAGGAGAGTTTCGTTTAAAAGATGGCGGGCGGGACAGAGCAAAGTAATTCTAAACTGTGCACGGTAGCCATTCAAGTTAATTTCAGCTACTCGTTCCCAACCGGCATGCTGGGCAATTCTGCCATGTTTAATGGCATGTGCTGTAGCTAAAAGCTTTTTGTAAGCTGGGCGGCTGTACAAATGTGATTAATAAAATTTTTATTTTAATATTAAAATGGGTTATTTAGGCCACTCATTCCCTCATTTCATAACAACCTCACAGGGTGGTAGTGGTTGTGGGGAAAACACGCGGGAGTATTACCGGTATGCATGTTCGCTGCCTTGAGATACTTATAAAGTAATAAAGGTGAGGTAAAAAAAAAAATCCATCACCCATTTTCAGGATCAATGTCTCCATCATGTAAAAGTAAAGTGCCCAAAATGGGCAAACTGAAGAATTTGAGAGTAAGTACGGCTGGGCAAGAAGGCAGGATAATGATAAAGGGAGTGACTGAAATTAGAGCATTCTGAAATGCATTAAGTATAAGGTGACCAGATTTTCAGATTGGTAAAGAGGGACACCTTTGACCCGGGGAGCGGGGTGGGGACTTGATTAAAAATTTTATATGGAATAACAAAAATTTTCATACAACGCAAAAATAGTATTGTAATATTTTTTATTTCAACATAACTGCAATTTACAAATATAAATTGTAACTGTTGCCAAATATCAAAATTTTGACCACGTGACCATAAGGATGCTGCAGATTGCTAAGTGTGAAAATGGTCGCTAAGTGTGAAAAATGGTCATCAGTCACTTTTTTCAATGCCATTGTAACTTTGGTCACTATACCACCTTTCTTGCCACAGTTCTTAAGTGAATAACTGCAGCTGATAAGTTAGTAACACAAGTGAATCTGGTTTCCCCAGATTCCCCAGACTTTGTCAAAAGGTGATTATATGACCC